ATCTGTGGGAAGAAAGCAAAATTAATGTTTCAAGTCTGGTGACTCTTCATCAGAACTGGCCTCAAAACATTAACTCTGCCAAATTGTGTGAAGAATCCCTCTTCAACTTTCTGTAGGGGCTATACAAATGCTGATATTTCCTTATTGGACTTTAGAATATGGCTAGGGTTTCCTCAACGGAATCTTCCCCTGCATTTGAGGTTACTTTTCAGAACTTCTCAGCCAGATTTCTTGTTTTAATTCTCTCTCTTCATCCTTTTGTCCCTGCTGAAACTCCAATTCCAGCCTCCTGAATGTCCTCTCTTTTTATTTCTTTCACAAATTCGAATCCTTTAATCTGTAATCGCAAAGTTATATACTTTTCTTTTTCTGCTGTTTGAAATCCTTTTTGCCTCAGCTTTATTTCTTGTTTTCCTGTTGAGACTGCTTTCACCGTAACAATCACAACTGACACTGATGACTCGCTGTTTGGAGTACCTGGCCTCTCTTGTATTTCCACCAATCCCAAACAAATGCTTCAATTATTTCCTTAGTTTTCGTAGGAAATGTCATATTTAACTCTGTCATTAATATTAAGTTGGCCTGAATTAGATTTTGTAGATCAGTCAGGGATACCTCCTCCATCTTTCAAACAGTTTTAGTTACTTCTGATCCCATCTTATTTCTATATTATGTGAAATCCAATATCTGTTCTTTTATCCTTCCCTAATTACTCATACTCAAGTAACACATTGCTCATCCAAAAATCCTAGGTGAGCCCCCAATGTTGATGCAGCACTGACGATGACAGGAGTGTGCTGAAAATTAAGCCACACTTCTGCACAAGTCATACCAAAAAAATAAGATTACTGTTATCCAGAACAAACAAGACTTTCACCAGTTCTCTTCAATTAAACACATTCCCAAACTGGGTATCAACCAACCCAAGTAGATTTAGACTGTTTTTATCAGTGCAGACTTGATGGGCTGAAGGGCGTCTTCTGAACAGTATGATTCTTTGACCCTATTGTATAGCCGCTTCATCTCCGGCACACACATTCATCCACAGACAGACTGAGAATGCACAGCACAGCAGAGGAAGTGTACATGAAGAAATTAGGGAGAACCCTGTTGATTAAGAGTCTAAACTAAAAGGGTAGAATGAGGTGACTTTTTAGAGTTCTTGTTTTGATGAAATCACTTTCCTGTCATGTGCAGAGTGCTGGAAAACCCTTACTGGGTAACATATCATTCAGACATAAGCCTCACAACTGAGTTACACTTTGGCTTTCAGAGTTTATGAGGAGATCAAGGATATTGATAAACTCACATATTCATGTGGTTACCTCTATAATCTAAGAATTGCCCAAACTCTCCACCTTTTCCAATTCTCATAAATCAGAAACACACATGTTCTCAACACCATACGTTATTCCCTCCATACTCTTGCTTTCACCTCATTGTTGTGTGCTCCCCATTTTCCTGCTCCCTCCCCATTCTCCTGCACTCTTCCCATTCTCCTGCTCTCTCCCCATTCTCCTGCTCTCTCCCCAATCTCCTGCGCTCTCTCGATGCTCCTGATCTCCTGTGCTCCCACTGTCTGTGCTACTGCGAGGGTTTGACAGAATTTGTCCCAAGGAATGTTCATATTGAGATCTTTAGCTTTATATATGTACCTACTGGGAATAAATATTGCTGCTTAAGGACTGGGTGGAAGAATTGGAAGATTTGGGACAGTTTGGACAGTTTCTGGGTTAAACAGAGTTTTGTCACAGAGTGACGGCAACAACATATGTGAAGTTCACAGAAAAATCAAATAATGTTGGAGAAATTAACTTAGGAAAGCTTTCAAGGAGATAAGTGAGATGACTTTACTGCCTTAATTACAGGAAAACCTAGTTTCAAAAAGACTAAGGAGCCTTTGTACAAATAGTTGCCTTGTAAGCTTCTGGACTTAGAATTATGTTTTACAGGCCCAGGGAGCCAGTAAAGAAGGCACCCAAGGGGAACCTGATAGAGTTTTCAAAGACCAATATGTCTGATTACCATGGAAAACCCAAAGCCTCAAATCCAGATTGTTTGCAATGAGAACTGAAGTTCTGTCATCAGTCTATGGATGGTCACAATTCGAATTCATTGACAGGAAATCCAGCAGATGTGCGAACTCATCATCATCAATTCATGGCCAGGAGAGATTTTTTTTCACTTTTGCCTTTTCTTTCCAATAACCTCAATCTCCGCAGAGATTTATTTGTGTGTGTGTGTGTGTGTTTGTTTTTGTGTGTGTGCGCGCCTGTGTGTGTGTATGTGTGTGTGTGTATGTGAGAAAGAGAGAGAGAGATGAAGGGAGTACAGTTTTAATTCCCAGTCATAAGTTAGATGTTAACCAGTTTTTTTCACTTGCTTTAAGAATAAGTTTTCTTCATAATAAATTGATAATTTTAATTTCAGTAAAAGCCTGGAGAATATTCCTGTTATTCTGGATAGCAATACGAAAGAGAAACAATTGGCTGTTTTGGTATTTAAATTAAAACAGTTTGATGAATATTACGACTCATAGGTTGTTCCTGTACTCCTCCCACTACAGTCATCGTACACTCTTTACACATTAGAATTTCAGCTGTTACAATTGGAACTCTTTCTTTTCCTGATATATGTTAATGATCTAGAACTTCGTGTTCAGGCAAAAGTTTCAAACTTTGGTCAATAACACAAAACTTGGGAGTATTGTAAGCTGTGAAGACAACAACGTAGAACTGCAAAAGGACATTAACAAATTGGCAGAGCGGGCGGTTAGATAGTAGATAATGTTCGATGCAGAGAATTGTGAGGTGATGCATTTTGCAATGAAACATCTTGTACAGTTTCAGCCTGAACTCCCCGTTCTTGTGCTTCTTGCCTTTATTAATGAAGCCTAGAGTTCTGCATGTTTTATTAACAGCTCTCTCCACAAGTCCTGCCATGTTCAGTAAGTTATGCACCTGTACATGCAGGTATCTTTGCTCTTTTAAGTCCTTGCTATCAGTGCCCATTATTTTGCACTGTCTCTCAATGTTTTTTGTTCCAAAGTGTATCACATTTCTCCACTCTGAACAGTCCCACCATCCCAGGAACAAGTCTGATGAATCTTCGATGTATCCCTCTATGACAATAATATCTTCCCTGACATCAGAAGAATAAAACTGCAGTGCTCCAGCTGTGGTCTAAACAAGCTCCTATACAACTGAAACAAGACCTCACTGCTCCTGTACTCGAATCCTCTTACAATAAAGGCTCACATTCCATTAACCTTCCTAATAACTTGCTGCACCTGCTTGTTAGCCTTCAGTGATTTATCAACAAGGACACCTTGGTGCCTCTATACAGCTACTCTTTCCAACCTCTCACCATTGAAGAAATACTCTGCCCATCTGTGTCTCCTACCAAAGTGGATAACCTCACTTGTTTTCACATTTTATTCCATCTGCAATGTCCTTGCTCACTCAGTAATCCTGTCCGAATCGTCTTGAAGCTGCTTTACACCTTCCTCACAAACACACATTCCCACTTATTTAGAAATATTACATGTAGTCCCCACCTCCAAATTGATCTAGATTGTGATCAGCTGGGGTCCATGTGATTGTCATAGAGTCATACAATGCAGTAACAGACCCTTTGGTCTAACCATAATCCCAAACTAAACTAGTCCCACCTGCCTGCTCCTGGCCCATATCCCTCCAAACGTTTCCTATTCATGTATTTATTCAAATGTGTTTTAAATGTTTTAAGTGCCTGCATCCACCACTTCCTCTGGAAGTTCACTCCACACACAAAATACTCTCTGTGTAAAAAAAGATTGCCCCTTGTGCTTTTTAAAATCTTTCTCCTCTCACCTTAAAAATGCACCCCCTAGTCTTGAAATCCACCTCTCCCACTCCTGAGGAAAAGACACCTGCCATTCACCTTATGTACACCTGCCATTATTTTATAAACCTCTATAAGGTCACCCCTCAAATTCCTATGCTCCAGTGAAAAAGGTCCCAGCCTATCCAGCCTCTCCTTAGCTCAAACTGTCAAGTCCCAGCAACATCCTGGTAAATCTCTTCTGAACCCTCTCCAGCTTAATAATATCCATCTTATAACAGGGAGATCAGAACTGAACACAGTATTCCAGAAGAGGCCTCACCAATGTCCTGTACAACCTCAACATAATGTCCCAACTCCTCTACTCAAAGGTGTGAGCAATGAAGGCAAGTGTGCTAAATGCCTTCTTAATCTCCCTATTTAGATGTGATGCGAAATTCAAAGAATTATGTACCTGAACCCATAGGTCTCTCTGTTCTACTACACTGCCCAAGGCCCTACTTTTAATTGTATAAATCTTGTCTTTGTTTTGTCAAAAGCAATACCTTGCATTGTACTTGTGGTAGTCACACTAGTCACAATCTGTCAATGTAAGAATGATCCGGTTATTCCTCCTCTCTGTTTTCTGTCTGTTAGCCAATCATTAATCCATGCCAGTACATTACTTCCTATCCTTTTAAGGTACTTTAATCTTTGAACCCAGCCACCTGTGGGGAACTTTATTTAAAGCCTTCCGAAAATCTTACTCCGCCCATCGACTCCTTTATCAAATTTGTTACTGACATTTTCCAACAAGTTCATCAAACACAGTTTCCTATTCTTAAATCTGTGCTGACTACTCCCAGTAATATCATGATTAACCGGCTATCTATTTGTCCCCCACCATTTTTAATAGATTCTAACAGGTTCCCTCCTCCTGGTGTAAGGCTATCAAGTCTGGAGTTCCCCTTTTCCTCTCCCACTCCTTTATTAAATAGTGGGTGACGTTTCCTACCTTCCACTCCACAGGAATCATTCCACAATCTGGGGAATTTTGGAAGATTGTTACCAATGCATCAATTCATTCTATAGCTACCTCCTTCAGCACTCTGGATATAGACCATCAGGTCCTGGGGATTTATCACCTTTCAGCCCTATTCATTTCTCCAGTACAATCTTTTCACTGATGCTAATTCTCCTCAACTGCGGATCTCTAGTTCTGCGGGATTTTTATTTTCCTGAATGAAAACAAATACAAAAAAATCATTTAGCTTTCCTGCCATGTCTCTATTCCCCATTATAAGTTACCCTGAGTCTGCCCATAATGGACCTACGTTCGAGTTAGCCAATTCTCTTTTACAAACCTATAGAAGGTTTTTCAGTCCATTTTTATGCTTTTGCCAGATAGCATTAATAATCTATTCCCCCTGTCCATATCAGAGTCTTTGTCTTCCTTTGTTTTATTCCATAAACTTCCCAATCATCAGGATTATTGCTATTCCTGGCACTTTGTAGGGCTTTTCTTTTAATCTTCTACAACTTACTTTGTTAGGCACGATTGACTTTTTTGAGTTTTTATATCTTGAAGGAAAGTATTGTTGCTGGAAATCATGTAGCAGTTTTTGGTGACAATAAAGGATATTCTATTATATCCTATTCTAAAATCTCTTCATTATTTATGTACAGCCAGGCCTATTAATGCATTTTCTCAATCCATCTCAGCCAATTTGTGTCTCATATTTTCATTTTTTTTCAAATTTAACACCCTTGTTTCAGATTGAACCTAATCGGCCACCGAGACAACAAGGTGCAGGGCTGGATTG